AAATGAACGGCATTAACACACGTTCATTTATTGATTATAGAATTTTTCGGAATAAACTGAAAAATGCATTTTGTATGAGAGCTCAACAATAATTGTCGAACCAAATAACTAATTAAGCGTAATATTAAGCCAATTATTTCTTTAACTTTGTATTTTGCTGGAGTGCGTAGCTCTGCCTGATCCGGAAGAAAATGCCGGCAATGGCAATTGGGAGGCACATCGATCAGCTATTTTTGTTGCGCCGGAAAAAACGTCGTACCCAATACTAGCAAGGCTGTCTTGCGTGGAGCAATGACCATAATAAGCTGCATGCGATAAGAAAGTATATGCATCAGAAGACAATAAATACCAAGAATGTTTAGTAATTTTGATGAGGATTCAGCCGGCGAGAAATTGATAACACTCCAGAACCTTTCCAAACCCTGCATGTCGACGCATTTTTCGAAAAAAGACAGACACATGGCGACGAAAATTCAAAACGTTCCAGCGAAAATTGTACGCTGACTCACTTGATATATCCAGCGAAGTAGTTCCCTTGTTATGAAAAAGTCTGTAAATATTTGTGACAATTAATGAAGCTGTATGATGTCAGATGAAGCAAACCGTCAATAAAGGCAATCGATGAGTAAAACTAAGACTTACTAAAACAGGGGAAGAAAAACAAAGATTGGCAATGACAGGATCTGGATAAAATCAGGATGGAACAAAACGAATTACGAAAGAATTAGATAAAAAAGGGACAATATAAAACTAGGATGTATGTATAAGGACTGGATATGACGATGAAGGAGTTATACGAGTACTGGAGACAACGAAGACTGATTAAAACGAAAAAAGATTTGGCAAACAATTAATAAATAAAGTACAGGATAAAACAAGCATTGTATAAAGCACGGACTGAATAAGCATGATATGGATGAACTACTTACTGCTCATGGCGATCGATGGCTCATCTGAGTAAACTGGAGAACCGATTTAAAATAAGTTCGATATATAATTTCACCTTAAACGTCATATTACTTGAGTGGGGAAAATTTGCAAAAACTAAAATTATGCTGGGTTTATGCAGTGACATGTAATATGCGTAAGTAGCGAATAGAAGAATATGCCAAGGCCATAATTTCTGGCAACAAACTTTGTAAGTTTCGTTTCAAGCTATGACCTGGGAATGCAGCCTCGAAGATTCAACTCAACATTATCAGCAGAAAGGCCGTCAAAATTTATTGAACTCACGAAATTTACACTAAAAAAGTCCAATTAACGGAATATACACTCATAGAGCAGGTTCATCTTTCACGCACAAACAGACATAGATCGACTCATGGTTGCATGCGGGACGTGAAGCGCATTAACGTGTCCTGGCGGTCCATATCAGCTCCAGCACAAGAGGTCGATAGCTCGATGGGCTCACCGCGATGTAATCACAACACAGCCGCGACAAGCAACCTGTAGCCAAGGCCGGCGAAAACAGTGATGCATATGATTTGAAAAAGTCACATGTACAACTGCAACGCATAAAATAAGAAAATATCTTCACAATTGTCTGCAATAGCAGCACTAACAACGCTCACAGCTTTGAAAACCTCATTCTTGGGAGCACAAGTTTTTTTCGATGTATAGAAACTGACCCTATAGTGACTCATGGTTGAAGTAGTGCTAGTGACTGTTGCATGCAGGCTCACTTTATTGGTTATTAGTGCGATGTTACTAATAGTTCAGCCAATTTGTTGCAGTATTTAAAATACTGAAAATAATGTATTGTAACCATTCAATGATGACAGTATGGTGACTTGAATAACTGCTTGGAGATGCCGTAGAATCTTAATTGGCCACCAGAAGATGGAAAGTAATTCCTGGGTCAGGCTCTTCATAAACGGACAGGGGGTCAGGCTCTGGGTCAGGCTCTTCATCCATAAATAGATGGATGCCAAGCAATCAGTCCATTTTGAATTTAGATGGCATATGTAAACTAAAATCTTGCTACGAATCTACAAGGCATCTCATAACGTTGTGGCCTCCGTCGAGCAGGACAGCCGGTAAAGGAAGTTCAGCGAACGTTGGACTGCGCGGGGTCGCCTGCCGAAGACCACCACTGCCCTGGATTTAATGGATAATCATGATTCCTGCCTTCCGAAACGTAGCCTTCAACACTTCTGGTCAACACTTCTCGCACCTAACCTCAGATGCGTTGAACGTAAAATTACGTAATTTAACGATGACCGGAAGTCATATTCGATCCGCGGCCTGGTAGTGCAAGGCAGGTTATATGCAAGGCCGGAGGAGGACAAAGCCGAGTGGTTCACGGCTTATTGGTGGATGTCCGGAGAGATCCAAGGCGTTCGATTCAGGGCTTATTGGTGCGCAAAATTGGAGGTGCACGGCTGCGCTCCCGACTGCGCGATGCGCGGGTGTAATCTAGTCGCCCCGCTGACGAAGCTACGGTTATTATCAGGGAAATAAAGAAATCACATGAGATTATGCACAATTTTGCGTTGCATGTCTGCATGTGCATTTCTATTTTGGGTGGTTTATTTTTTTCAAATTTAATTCTAAGTAAATTTTCGTTCAATGCCGCTTAGTGATTCAACATATGTATATACCATCAGTCCACCGCTTCCAAACTCACTTTATAATGAATTAAATTTCATGTCATCATGAAGTTATGGCCTTATGGGGCTCTAACGAGCGAGATCTAGAAGTGTTGATACAAAAATTATTTGCAAATATTTATATTTATTGAAATTCTCTAAAGAAATTAATTATAATAATCTTTACGTATATAGTAGTCCACGCATATTCCGAATACATATCGTTATTAGCAAGCCAGTTTTAGCCCATTGACTGATTGAGCCATATAGAAACATTTTTTGTTGTACAAGACATCGTGAAAGAAAGAAAATCTATTCACTACTCCCTTATCAATTGACCATTTTGTTCAACTCTTATGTATAAACAAAAGTTTCAATACTTGAATTCAATATTCGTCCGCAAACTATCATATCTAATGCTAGCAGCGCGCCTTACTTGGTCACTTTCATCAGTTCCGTGAAATTTTGCTAATAAACTGTGCTATTAGAAAAGGGTTGCGGTGATAATACATTCAGTTAATGTTTCCTTTCAGAAAACCGCGTTCCAATGCCATTAATAACTCAATAGTTATACAATTTCCGCCCAAAATATTAAGAACATATCCTACAGAATACAGATGCTTGCTTATACAACTAATGATATAAACAATTATAAATTTCATATACAGCTACCCACCTGTTCATTCCGCCCAATCAAACACGCATTCCGAGGAGCTTCGTCAACGCTCAAACTCAATCGAAGACTTCATTTGTGATTACCTCAAACCACTAGTAGATTTTCATACATGACTCAGTAGCGATGAAATAAGGCGATACCTCCTTTCAGTATTAGTTAAATACCAAGATCTAAAATTCATGGTATCTGACCATTCCAACATTGCTAGAATCGACCAAGCCGATATCGACGTGACAAAAACACTGTACACCGACTCGCATGAAGTCCAAAGAGAAACTAGAGGTAAACTGACTGGTGACTGCTGACACGAGTCGGCTGGCCCTCGCGCAGTTTGATCCAATCGGACGGCGGCGGTCAGAACTGTGGTCGTGTACAAGAACCCGCCCAACACTAGGTTGATACGTTCCTCATTTCATTGCTAGATAAATAAAATCGTCAGCAAACCCCAGCGTAATCAAAATACTGATATTTTAGGGGTAAATTTGTAGAATGAAAGAGAAAATATGTCACGATAGTTTAAAATTTAATGTTATTCTTTAGGAACAACTGGATCCCTGTCTCACCATGTGTCAATAGCTGATATTAAAAATAAACTGATAGCAGAATAAAGGTTCAGTAAGTATGAATCCAATAACTTGTATGAGTTGTATTAAAACCCGCGTCTCAAAAATGAGACTCTGCCAAATTATTTTCAATAAACCCACTTCGGTTATGTTTCTAAATTCTCCATTTTCCGACGTCATGCAAACCTAAACCATAATATCTCGAGAACGCAACTAAAAGTAGATACCTCCTTCAGTCGACTTTGCTGAAGAATCCATCAGACGAAATCAAGTTTCTATAATACTGTGAGTGCTGTAGCAAGTGCACGTAAGTACGTTGCGAGTTGACCAGCCTTGCACTGAGCTCTTATCGCCTGTACGGAGTTCAACGTCTCCCTGCAGCCGCGGCGGTCAGTGAGCTGCGTGCGTGATCTGAATGCGGTCTCTTTTAGCTCTCATGATACATTTTAGCTCAGATCTTAATATCTTATTGCTAGAGCTACTTTGGCCTCAATGTATTGTCCGGACTTCAACGTATAGTTTCTCAGATGTATTGTTCTAATCTCAATATTTTGTTACTCGGGGCTCAATGTATTGTAGCTTGAACCGAAAGATAATGTTCATGGAGCCCCAATACTTTGTGGCTTGGACCTAGATGTATTGCAGCTCGGATCTCGATATATTGCAGCTTTGACCTCAAGGTATTGTCGCCGGGGCCTCAAGGTACTGCAGCTTGGACCTCGATGTTTTATAGCTCAGATCTCAATGCATTGTAGCTTAGACATAAATTGATTGCAACCTGAACCTTGATTTATTGTAGCTCGGCCTCGATGTATTGTTGCTCGTGCCTTAATGTAAAGTTGATAAAAACTCTAATGCAGTTTGCAATACAATGTAATACTATTTAGGCCTCGTGACCTCCATGTCTTGTTTATCGCTCTCAATGTGTGGCTTTTAAGTCATTTGCAGCGCATTCCATAATCCGCGAATAGCTAGCCGCTATCAATTCGATATTCGACGCTGGAATGTGCAAGAAACAACGGCTTTACAAATTGGTTTCGATTTTTATGTCTTTTCAACGTTTGCTGCAACCAGAACATGAACCACTCGACGAGTCTTCATATTGTTTGCTGGTGTTCTGAGAACAAATCAAAACATCTGTATTTTGATAATGTTGATTATTTTTCCTACAGAAATTCTAAATTTATTTATTTAATTCGATAGAAAATATTCTTCAAGAAAACTGTAGGAAAGCAAAAATTGATTTCTCCTTGAGTATTCTTCAAATGGCCTTGTCACTTTGACTAAATGCATCTAAATTTTAAAGGAGATTACAAAAGTAATTGGTATGGGATCACCAACTGCATCACGTAGTTAAAAAATTTGACGTTGCCAAGATATTCTTATTACGTGATTACAATTTTTAACACAAAGCTGAGAGGGCGCTACACTTGATAAACACCTCCTCTAAAGCCATCGAAAACTTCATTCTATGTGCCCGATTTTTGCGGAAAATTTTGTGTAGAAAAAGTGATCAGTTAAATAAGAGAAGAAGAAAAATAAGTCAACGAGCCGCTCACTAGTTATTTAATTTAGCAACAATATAACTGAATCTCACGAAAATTACTGAAAATCAAGCAAAATGAGAACTCGCGTGCTGAAAAAGTCTCAGTCAACTCCGTTTGATTTCACTGCAATTTTCAGTATCGAACAGATGAGTTCGTATCCAAGGTTATTATATTTTTTCAAAAATATCGAGTTCTCACGAACAGAGAAAATTGCTTTGGTAGTTTTACTGTTGTTGCTGCTGTGCTTTGGTTCAGCATCTGCAGAAGAGAGCATCAGCGATGGAAGCAGACCAAAACAGTCTGGCCAGCCGCTGCGGGTAGTGCCAATTTCTCAGCATATTGACCGCACGGTTCGTAATTCTCTCAAGACGATACTGCCAGCCATAAGTGCGAGGTGAGACTTTCGCAGCAGTGCTTTATAAGTTATGCATCATGGTTCAAAACAGAAACCTCTCTTTTAGCTTAATGTTTCAAATATTGCTGCCGTCTAATTCTAACGCGTGGTTAGGCATAGTGTTTCTTGAGTCAACTTTGGGTGTTTCGCTCATGGATTTCAGTGCAATAGTTACTATGGGGACAATTTCCTGTATTTTCAGATTTTGGTCGCAGTTGCAGCTGGTGAAGCGTGAACTCAGGAATGACATGCGGCGGATGACACATCTTCTTGAACAAGTCGCAGGCATTGCCCAAGCGCAGCCTGTCGGCGACCTCCATAAGGACATCAATAGGAGAACGGGTGGAGGTCATCTCCAAACGAGCGGCCTGGAAGTACCTCCAGAAACAGACGAGACCTCAAACGAAAAAATAAACCTTAGAGAAGAAGATATGCGAGCTACAGAGCAGTGGACCTCCGTGGCTTTTGAACGGAATCTCACAGAAACGGTGGCGAAGTTGGAGAAGTTACTGACAGAAGGACTAGTGACGCTCACGGAGGGATGCGTTAGGGAAGTCGAAGAAAATAATCAGGCTGTGATTGACCGTCAGAGAGACATCCTCAGGTCTCTGGAGCGCCTCCATGCTCGAGTGGACCGTCTTGATGGCAGGAGTCCGACAGCCGTACTGCCCAGCTTGCCCTTCCTGCCCAGCAGCCAGGTGATCAAAAAATGTCAAGATTTAAATAAGGTTATTCTGGTTGGCTACAAGGTAGGTGACTGTAATTTCTGTCTCACTTTCAATTTGATCACAAGTTTATTGCAAATGATTTTTTCACGTACATCTATGTAGTTGAATATTTGTGGAAAAATTGTCACATTAGAATGTTAAATATCAACGCATTATTTCACTATTGAAGAATTTTGGTAAAATAGTTATCTGAATAAATTCTATGGATTTAACATTTTGTTCACCCTAAAACGGACGAACAACACGTGCAGGTTTTGGATCCTCCTCGTGAATGCCGCGAGGCTCAGCAGCGCCGGGCTGCGGGTACGGACGGCGTCACTCTCATCTCGCCAAAGCGTCCGCTTGAAGATAAGGTACCGAACTAACAAAACGACTAAGCAACGACAGATGAGTATAGATCGAGCACATGATGCACATCACACCTAATGCATTTTTTATTTTACATCGCCATTTTACATATTGATGTAATTAATGAAGTTCATGTTCCATCCATTGCCAAATATTTCAATCTGATTTAGTTGCAACTGTTTCCTTACATGACTGTTTGCAGCCTCGACGCGTGCGTTGTGACCAGACCACGTCAGGGGGCGGGTGGACTGTCATGCTTCATCGGCAACAGCAGGAGCAACAGCTCAACTTCCGCAGAGACTGGCGGGAGTACGAAGAAGGCTTCGGTGACCCCAGTGGAGAATACTGGATAGGTGCGTGTGTTGAATACCTGCTACCAGTAAGGAATGTTGGAAATCGGGGATGCATGCCAGAGACCAGCATTGTGCTGAAACAGTGTTGGTTTAATTAAAGTTCGTGTGGTGATATAGGTCAATTGACTACAGCTGCTTAGGTGCCAGGATGACAATGTATATAGCACTTAGATGATTAATGTTGGCTCCAGGGCTGATTTGAGAGTTAATTTGCTGGTCTACGGCTGCGCACCCGAAAATCGGAGGGTAGGCGCTAATTTTCTTTTTGAAATCGAAAAGGAATGAAAAGTTGATACAAAAATTGGGCCTGTGCCTGATAGTGTCTGAATTTCAGTTTTATTTTGATTTTCGAAGGCTTGAAGACTTTGCACGAGCTCACCCGTTCCAACCCCTTCGAACTGCTCGTGGTGATGGCGATCGGGGACGAAAAAGCCTCAAGCTTCTACTCAAATTTCAGGTCAGTCTTTGATGGCACTTGGATATAATATCCCCAGCATGAACTTAGGAGTGCAATGATCTGTAAGGAATGGCGTTATATCAAATGGTTGCCAATTAATTTATAAGATGCGAATCACTGCCCGAGTTCACCATTTTTTCGAACATTTAGGAAGGGGATTTTCATTCACCGAGACGATATAAACTATGAATAAACGAGCATTTACATGTACGCAATGTAATAATGCCAATACTCTTTATTCAATGTGGCAGTATTCACTAACACGTTCTCATGCCAACTTGAACATGTAAGAGAATTACTAGTAACACTCCATATAGAATAGAAGTGTCGGCACTGAAGAAATAGGCCCATGGCCTGTTGCATCTGACTAAATAAAATAAAACGTGTCGATGTGACTGTCGCTATACAATCAGAAATGTGAACAATCACGACTGTAATGCTGCAGTGTGGGTAGCAGTTCTTCGCCAGGCCGTGGCTACAGACTCAGGGTCTCCGACTATCACCACAACAGCACGGGCGGCGACGCGCTGTCTTACCACAGCGGTATGCCCTTCACCACATATGATGCCGACAATGATATTGCTAAAGGTAAATTACGAACCTCTTCATTGGGCAAGAAATAAGCTGGTTTATCCATAAACTCGTTCAATAATATGGATAGGCCAAATTGTTGGCTTTTTACTTCTTAGCTTGCCATTAAAATGACGCAGTGATGTTTCCAGTATTATTTTTTGATAGGAAACTATATTTAATTGGCTTGAATTTAGTTGTAACGTTGGATTTAATATTTCAGGATAGTGTTATCAATGTCAGTTAATCAGGTTCGATATAACGTATGCGCACTTCTTGCCGCATAACCACAGCTCTTAGGACGATATTTGTTCAAGGAGGCAGTTGCTCGCTGTGGTGCGGCGGAGGAGGTTGGTGGTACAACTACTGCTTCTACGCTAACCCCACGGGGGTGTATCCTCCCCCCAGCCTCACCAGGACCACGGAAGGGGATGCGTACCTCGAGTGGAGGACTTGGCAAGGATACTATGCGTATTTGACGCAACTCACCATGATGATCAGACCGAAGACCCACTGAACCTACCCAATTAATTGTCATTCTCGTGGTGTGAATTGAACCTTTTGTGACAAATAGTCGTTCCAGTATTTCTAAGAACAGATTTTGATACAGGGAGCCACTGATAAACTAGACGTATCGCTGTTCACAAAATGAAACTTTCGATTACGACACGAGAGATTGATAGTAACGAGCGCCAAATGAGTCGAGTTCGTGGAGACGACCAGCTAACAGGTCGTAGAGTTAATGTCTGAGTTATGTTGAATTTTTATTATGATAATTTACAGAATGACGACGAAACTATTTTTACTATTAGATCCTTCACAAAATTCTAACAAAGTAAGGAAGTTGAAGGGTAATAGTAAAGACAAGGCGCGTAGTCATGATTTTCATTAGCTAAAAATAGGTTTTGGTGGACAGGTTCAGTAAAGGCGAAGGTTCAAGAGTAACAGCGATATAAACAAACCGCATCAGACGGCAGTGATGCACTAATTGCCAGCATTATTATGATTATAAAGACGTGTTTAATGAGCAATACAAAAAGTAACTGGTAATTGCGTCATAACGAAGCAATGCTCGGCACCATATTCTTAGACATGCCAATTTGAACGCGGCGACGTGATCACATAAATTCACACAATTCACCAATAAATGTGCAACTAAAAAAGATGCCTTTACTCGGCGATATCGCTTGCGGTAATCAAGCGCATATCTTCATACTCAAGTTTGTATGAAAGATACGGGCAAGGATGAGTGCAAAAATTGATGAAGAATGCATTAAAAATAATCAGCTGCCGAAAATTTACAAGATTTTCAAACGAATGATTCGAAAGCACATAATGAGTATATACGTTATCGACACAAATAAACACAAAATATCATTCGTGTGATGAAATAAATGTCTTGGAAGAGCCATCATTTCATCTAAATAGCATTAATTAAAGATCCAGAAAATGAAATACATTTAGATATACAATTATCGATTTAGAAAATTAATATCCGGAGTACACTAAATATATACCTATTGGGGAACCATTGTTTGTCAATAAATCATACAACGTATGTGCTCAAACAGCGTGATTATCATTGTACTTATGCGAGAATAAAATAAAAGTTCGTAAACTAAAAATTGATCGCACCGATGGGATGAGAATATGAGTTTGCTCGTAACTCCCGGTAATTTGAGATGAGCCGGGCTCTTCATGTCTTGCCGGGCAGGGAATGAGCGCGACTGAGTTGATCACAAAAAGCAGAATTACAGCTCAACTAACCTCGAAAAGTTTCGATAACATATCACTTTTTTAGGTTACGGAGAATAACACTTGAGAAGAGTAGATGTTCAACATGCATACGTTTGTTCTACTCCTAGCGTTTAAAACTTTGGTTAAGTACGCTCTATATTTATCGTGCAGTAGGTATAAAAAGTGATGCTCCGATACTAGGGCAGATAAGCAATAAAATGTACAGTTCTTTCACATTAAGAGGAGTTGTTGCATGGTGAAAAAGTTCCTCTCGGTGAGGAGGAAAACAACCATATAACGAGTAAACTTAAAATACCATGTCACAAAATATTAATCGAAATAGAAAAAAAAGTCAATAGCCAACGACCAAAGCTTGTGAACGTTCGACAAGCATGCAAGTTGGCTTAGAAGTCTTGGAACTTTGTGAAAGTTTTAGATGCTCTACTGGACCTGCTGTGTACACGGTACAAGAGTATATACTCTTGTACCGTGTCTGCACTAATCGTTGTTACCGTAATCAGTTTTTACTGTAGGGCCTCGGGACAATCATTGATATCGCCAGCTGTGATGCTAGCTCGTGTGCACGACTCAACATTGAAACATGAGCATATTTCAGAAATTTGTTCCAGCGTTTACAGTCGCAACAGGTCATGGATAGTTTCATCAGAAACAAATAACAGAACAGTCTTGAACAATTGAAAAAATAGAGTTGACATACAACGTTTGATAGTTGTTCAGTCATACGTTAACTCACAAGACCTGCACACAAGCTACGATTACAATTCAAAATTTGTAAATTGCAGATCTTTCTCAACTACTTGTTACAAAGCGCCTAAATAAAAATACGATTATATACAACGAACTAGGGTACAAGGAGACACGCTACTTTATTTACAAGGTCAAAGAGTTTAACTTTGTGATAAGGGCCGATAACCGCTGTCCGTATTTTGTACATGTAAAAGCTAATGACTACGTTCTAACTAAAGCGACTACCAAGTAGAGGAGCAGATATTACGATGTACGAGTAGTACCGTATGTTTCAATCAGACGACATTGGATCTGGTTGCGAGTAATGCTTGCGGAACGCCTCATGAAGTGAAACGAATTCGAATGTGAATTAAATATTAAATTGGAACATGGCTTGAGTATCAATCTCTAACGTAACTCACTCATATCACGGAAAGCTTTCAATTCAAACAGTTCATAGAGAAAATTGTTCCACGAGTTGTCACTAACTTATCATAATAATATAACAGCAAACGAACGCCTAATCATCACATCACATAGGAGAATCATTACATTGTGACCGTCTTTCACGAGTGGGTGGCACCATTGCCGGTGACTTGGAACAATTTCGTACACAAGCTGAATGCGATGCCTAGAACAAGTTTTACAGAACAAAGTACCTAATACTCAGTGCGCCGCCGTGAGTTGGGCAGATACAAAATCATCAGGGTAGTTATTTATTTACACATGAAACTGACCCCCCAAAAAAAGTAAATGCAGAGACTTAACAACTTAAAATGTCGTTAACTGGAACTGGGACAAAAGCAACGATTAAGAGATTTCATGTAATACGTATGCGCTTATAGACACGTTCAATTAACGTGTAATAACAAACAGTTGGTGCACTATATCGTACATCTCCCTATAGATGACCTAGATCGCAACGACAGACGCGGTTTCCAGGGAGTTGTCATACGAATTTATCGCTCAATTGTCGACGCCAATTGTTACAATTTCCCTAGCTCATTGGTGTAAAAATACAAGAATAGTTTACACAAAAACTTGTATGATGGCGCCGGACTTAAAGTTATGATAGCGGAAAATATATGATATTACAAAATATATATTTAGTGAAGATAAGCGACTTTTATGATGCATGCTTCATACCCATAACACCATTCACGTGCACTTAGAAAAAAATCTGCGCCGTGTCCAAATCCCCAACTTTATTTTGTCGAATATACATCGAGACAGTGAAACTATGATGCCTCATACCGACAGATGAAGTAACGCAAAGAGCAGCGCAAACACAACACAGCCTCACGATGTCGCAGTGTTATAATACTCGCTAGTTGGTACCACCGTGCAAACTTTGAATAAGCAAAAAAAAAAAAGTTATATTAGCAAAATGAGCACTTGGCACCAGAATTTTAACACAGGACGTTCAACTTGAATGTGAATTTGGTATACCGTGAATAAATCAAGTGGTCATTAATAAATCTTTCCGAAGTCTTGAATGATCAAGACATTGTAAGAAATCAAGACCCGGTTTTTTTCAGAAGATCAGGCAGCAGAATAGTTTTGCTCGAATGTAGGTAGATTATGACTTTTTATCGAAATTAAGAGCAGCAATATGTTGTTAGTTTGCGTTAAGCACATAAACGCTCGTGAGAGCGAGCAGCGTTTTTTGAAAACATTACGTTTGAAAATAGGGATATAGACGATAATTCAAAATCAAACAAGGCGAAAAAGATGTCCAACGAATACGCCGAGAAAAAAAATCTCCAGAAGAGCATAAAAACATCAGATGATAATTATAGAAGCAAAGATAAAAAAAGTGTTACATTTTTAGGAAAAGAATAGCTGCGAAATTTCTAGGTCGTCGTTGTTCCATCTATTAATAATCCAGACAAAATCCGTTCAATATTATTTGTAATCGGAATTATGTATCAAAACCCGTCCTCCTTGCAACACGAAGAAATTTTCTTACAGTTCACTTTGAGAGTCTTGAATAACAAGGTAACAGAGCATTACGGGACAAGTATATGCCCATGAAAGTATTCCCTAAAAAATACCACTTGGTGACGAGGGGCGATTTATCAGCCACTTTAACATAACAAGAAAATAATATAGAATATCAAGGGTGATATATAAGAATGTTTAAATTAGTTGGCACTTCCAGCGCACAGTATACTGAAAAACGGACATAGTTCGCATGTCTAGAAATATATTCCACGAAATACAAAGCGTTGCTTAGAAATTTCAATCCCAGTTAGCGGGATGGCAAATAATTATCTTTGTATTTGTTGACGTGGCATCCTAGTAGTGTACTGCAAGTTTCGAGAATTGCTGTCCTCTGTTAAAAACGAGATGAATTCGCTCGGTACGACACTGACGTATACGTTCGTTCTTGGCCCAGTAACGCACTAAACTATTTAGTTAAGCACGGCAGAAAAAATTACTTGGGAACATACATTACGATGATCCAAGCATGTTTTATATTTATGACCGAATACAGGAAAGAAGAGGTTCATACCCTGCCGCGCCAGACCGCGTAGATTATACGGTCTGGCCAGACCGCCAGACCGTATTCTGCCGCCCCGCCAGACCGCGTACATCATGAAATGCTTCCGTAATAAATGATAAAAGGAACGGTATTGGACGATAATAGTTATTGCCACGAAATTAGTAACCGGTAAAAGATGCGTTGATGGCCACCGGAAACTAGAAAACTTTCATTCAAAGGCAGTATGAAATGTAAAGCTGATAGTCCAACAAAATTGACGCTCTGTAATACATGGCTGATTCGAACTGAGGAGACAAATGTTAATACACGAGTAGCAAATGTATTAGAATTATGCACAGGAAATTATGATGACAGCCTTTTTCCTTCATTTTGATCAAGTTTACTGTTAATAGATATAGGTTACTCTTGAGTGCACTCCACGCTCGCTTTGTTCTAGGAAGTTGAGCTGCTCCCGTCCAAACAAGGAGGAGGCAAGTCCACGGCTTCATTTTATCACTGAGACCGTAGATGAAGAGCACTACACTCGAGCGATCTCATGAGATATACCTACAGTTCTCGAGTTGAGTACATACTATGCTTGGATAAGACGTGTACAAGGTGACACTTGTAGTGATACTCTAGCAATATTTATGCACTGGATACTTCGCTAAACGTTCAAGGCATGCGACTCTTTCCGTACATGAAGTACTGGGTCTGTTTATTTCATTCCTCTTTCATGAAGAGAACATACAAACGTTAAGCAGAAACACATCGCCATTAGCTAATTAAACATATTCAATTACGCGAAATTTACAGATCTACATACTTCTCAGAAGCATCATAAGAGGTAAAAAATATCATTTAAACTGTTATTGGCCGCTTGCTGTTCTGCCATTGTGCAGGCAGTCAATTTCAGCGGCATTTGAGACAGATGTGATTCCAGTCTCGTCCTCAGCATGGACGTTAACGGAGGCCTCTACCAATTCAGTGGCCACATCTCCATTCTTGCAAGATTCTGGATTACTGCCGCTTTTACCGGACAATCTTCTTTGAGACCGCCGGCACTGTCCTCTCCCTTCGTCCTCTTCTCTGATGATCCCGCAATCACCAGGAACATTATTTTCTTCTATGCTTCCTTTACTAGCGCTTTCGGTACTTGCTGAACCATTATGGGCAACGGATGCTCGTCTTCTGACGTCTACTTCATCTACTCCTGTACTGGGGAGGTCTTCCCGAGAACTCACTGCGGGGTCAAGAAAGAAACAGTCAAGCAGGACGCTCGCGTTGTCTTCATTAACGCTCTCGCCGCTGCATTTTCTTTGCACCTCTCGTCTGTTCAAGCTACTTGTCTCTTCTTCGTCATAACTGGGGCCTTGTTGAAATGAAATAGCTCCGCTGCTCCCAAATGTGCTCTCGCTCTCCGTTCTGCAAAGGTCTCTTCGTACTAGCCGCTTATCTGTGATGCTCATCACCGAAGATTTGCGAATGGAACCTTGGGCAGATTGGATACTCTCGGATTCCTCGTCGATCCGCGACTCCCTGCCGCCACTAAACACGTCGTCAGCACTTGCAGCATGAGCTCGCAGGTCCACACTAGGGTCAACTGCGGTAGCTGCAGTCCCGCGCTTATCTGCTTCCTCAGCAGAGGATGAATGTTTAACTCTTCTGAACTTTTCTTTGAATGATCCGTCTCGAGGCAAGCGAAAGCTGCCAAGTCTCCTGACGGAAGTGGATCCCTGAGGCGCGACGCTCCCTGTATCACCGCCGACCGCTGGCGGGTCAGTGCACACTTCCATGATGGTGGAGGTGTTTATACGAAGGGAGCGCCGCGATGATTGTCAAAGATTTTTGAGCGGTAAACGCCGCCGCGATGTGGGAGTTACCATGGCGTTCATTCCACCCATTGTGGAGGAGTTGGGAGGAGGAGGAGTGCCAGTCAACGACAGATCCTGCTATATGTTACAAAAATTAGACATGGTATCAAGTTATCTATATTAAGTTAACAAGAAAGATTATATTTTGCCCGGACAAAGTATGAGCTGAGGTATCAAAGCAGCTTGACACATTACTGATAAGCAAAAATTAGACGAATAATCGTAAATAAATGTGAATGATTTTAAACATGAAGTAAGAAATCAGATTATGACACAAAATTCGAAAATGTTGTGCGTTCTGGAAATTTTAAGTGCATGAATGCATTCCTAACGGGATCTTTCAACAAACAATGACAGCAAAACTCACACAAACCAGTGGTAGTACAATGAGAATAGATGACCAGCCCATCACAGTATGCTAATAAATTAGTCACATAGGAAACAAAAATCCTGAAAACGAACAGCTCATCAGCCGCCCACTCTAGACTGTAATATACTTCATATGCAAATAAGCAGCGTACAAGAGCAAGCATTGTTGATAAGCCCGCACAGTCAATTTACATGGTGGCAAGATCAGGGATAATATGGCCGCGGGTAGCATTTCTCACCGCAAGATTGGTGACGGAGGCAGCGGCTCTCATGGCAGGGTTGGGGAGCGTGGCGAAGGGACTCATCACAGTAGACACGGCGCGCTTCAACTTCCCGCCAGGACTCTTGTTGAAACTGAATGCTCGACTCACCTGATTCAACATAAATGTGTTGATGCACCTAACAGTCTCAAGCAAAAACTTTGCCATGAAAAAGAGCATTCCTTTTTTGGAATATAGATATTTTTTTGGATGATAATAAATATCTTTTTTGGATAATATAGATATTTTATCAATATCTATATAATCAATAAAATATTGGTTACAATATCTTTAACCATCTATAAGGTCATAAAAATTCTAACAAGAAAAGAAGGAAACTCCATATGTCACGAGATAACAGCTACATAAGTTTATAATTTATGCCACTGGCACACGAGTCCAATAAAATACGAGTGTGTTTCATAGCTGCTGATTTGCTACACAGTAGAAACTGCTGACCTTGCGTCCAGTGCGAGCAGCGAACCGTAGAGCTTTACTCAGAGACGTGGCGAAGCCAACGTCACTGGACTCGATGTCCAGATGGTGCGGGTCCATTGGTACAAGAAAATTCTCCTATGGAGTGTTCAAAAATTATTGCCATGCTCCAGTATTTTACAAGACTTGCGGAGAAATTAGCACAATTCAATGGATTATCACAGCTTAAATTCTTATAATAATTTACAAAAAAGTAACATTTGCTTCTAAAATGATTTGAAATCTATGAGAATATAGGTCCAAATACAGCACAGTTACTAGCTGAACAAGACAATGTCAAATGATAGCGCGTGTGAGGTTCAGATAGAATGAATTGTTTAGAAAGAGAAATACGAAAGCTGAAATAGTAGAATTATTCACCACTCACCTGGATTGCATTCACTGAGTGCATGGAAAGATAGAACGCAAATAAATATTTTGTGAAAAAATGATTACCCCAACTTCTTGAGTAAAACAGGAATAAACATTTTTAGAATCATACACAAATCACAGGAACTTCATGAACACAGACGTTAGGTAATAAGTGGAGCTCATCTAACAAGTTTCGGGGAAACGCAGGCGGCAATAAGAGGTGCTCATCTAACAAGTTTCGGGGCAACACAAGCGGCAATAAGAGGTGCTCATCTAACAAGTTTCGGGGCAACACAGGCGGTAATAAGAGGTCCTCATTTAACAAGTTTCGGGGCAACACAGGCGGTAATAAGAGGTCCTCATCTAACAAGTTTCGGGGNACAACCTCAAGGACATCATTGAAGACGAAGAGAGTTAAGGAGTCGCCGCGCCCACTGCACGTATCGCTGAGCTCGGTCGCGTCCGCGCGGCTCACATACGTGCGATGCGACGCTACCAAGTTCGGCTGCAATCAAACATAGATTTTTCGTGTTGATTAATTGTTATATTAACAACAGTTTACAAGATTTGTAGAGATTCTTTTCTTACACAAAAATAGTTGATCAGATTATCTTGTTTTAGTCTAATATAATATAAATAGTCATTCGACTATTATCTATTATTACTCCATCGTACCAATTTCTAAAATATTTTCAGTTTATGGTTTTAATGCAACTCAAACGACAAGAGGAGTTCAATGATAATTTAAGGTGGAGTGAGGAAGTTTAACTTATGTTGTAGAAGCCAAGTGGATAAGTTATCACTAGAATAACTATTCTATTGATTAGTAGCCAAGATGAAGAACTCACTGGACAGTATTCAATATCATTGTGTATCTCAAAAAGCTTGAGTTTTGCTTCAGTTTTGCGCTTGTTGTCGTTGATGAAAGTCATGACAGACTTGATCTTGTCGAGTGCATTGCTCAACGCCGTGTGATCGTTATGGTTGCGGTCCGTGTGTTTCAGCATATCTGATGAAATATTAATTAATTAATGCAAAATAATTTCACAAGCATACATACCATGTCAGAAAAAACGCAGAGAAATATAATTTTGATACTAAATCCATGCGCAAACTAATATATTGTTACGGATATAGATATATTATTTCAGGACACATATCAATACATCATCATAAGATACGTGCGGTATAAAAAACTCAAAAGCTAAGAATGCTTTATCGTGTGTGTTGGGACATGTTTCTGGGCTGACCATTGAGCAAGAGACTCATGGAAGGCAGCCGCTGCACGGGCCTAATCAGCAGCTCCTGGAAGCTCTGTCTGCTGCACTCTGGTTTGCTCTGGGCGATCTTCAAGAAAGCGTGGAAACGCGGTCGCTCGTGACAGATCTTTTCCAGCATCTCCTTGACGTTTTCAAAATAATTTACAAATGGTGGGTAAGCTTTCTCCAGGTCGTCGGACTGTAAAAAAATTGGAAACGATCAATTGGTAATTTTTCAATATCTGGTATGGGTTTAGCGTAGGTAACAGTTTTAGACTATAAAAAACAATTAATATTGAGACTTGTAAATATGATCTAAATAAAATCCAAATTTAAACAGCATATTTACTTACATAAGACTTACACTTATTTACTATAAGACTTACAGCATATTTATAGGACTTAGAAGAAACTGATAGAGTACCAGTACATGAAATAAAAAAATTGACCAGGTATAATCCTTTATACATTAGAGACACACATAATTGAGTATTATTTGTCCAATAGACGCGTCAGGATGCCAGTTGTGTGCAAGGTGTAGGAAGTCGTTACGCATTTTGGTGTGCACGTCGTGTATGGGCGGCAGATGACCAAAAATATAGCGCAATTCCTGACTGTCCAGCAGAGGCCCTCCAGGTTGGCTGTCGTCTTCCAGAGGCTCTTTGATAACCTGCAAATATATGAATATGAAGCACACCGAAGAAGTCAGTTTTATATTAGCAACTTTTAATAAGAAGAATCGAGTGGATTGCTTCTTTAAATAAAGTTTGGCAGACAGCTGCACTGAGAAATGGGATCAAAATTCAAGTGAGCGCGAGATGAAAAGTTTTGTCCGTGACAATTGACTACACGAAGGATTTTCATTAGCATTATTCATACATAATGTATAATGCTATATTTCTTACATAATAAAAATAATTACAAACGACCTAGCACATTAGTTAGCCTACATTAAGCAATCTGTACACTAGCTTACCTTGATGAAGGAGTCAATACCATGCATGCCATTGCATGAAATAATTTCTTTCTAGTCTGACTGTTACTTCAAGAATTGAAAAAAAAAACATTTCAGTCAGTCACTATCAGACATCAACCCATGAGACTACAGGTAAAGAGTGAAGCAGCAGCCCCACCTTGTTGATGGTGTCCAGGATGGCCACATAGTTGCACTCAGTCTTGACGAGTTCATGGAAGACGCGCTGTCGAGGCGTCAGGTGCTTCAGGTCCGTGGAAGGTGGTGACAGCGGCGTCTTCATTGCACTGTGTGGACAATGGTCAACTTGTTAACATTATATTTAAATGAGAATTAATATCATTCAGGGTAAACACAAAACTAAAAAACGTTATACAATTCAATATGAATACACAACGAAGTAATGCATTTACAGGACGCCGATACGAGGGCGAATGCTATAGCCAGCAGCCAAATGTATTGTTCTAATCACACTCCTTGCAGCGTATTATTTGTATCAACTTTCTACATATCGTACATACGTTCTATACTATCATACAGATCGAAAACTTATAAACCTAAAATGAACAAATTATTAGGGCTGATAAGGTGTTAATTTTTGACACAACGTACTCAGATGACAGTCGCTAGTAGGACGTGTGTATGAGTGTTGCAACAAAGGGAAAATGTTTCCTGTAATCAACTTTCCTGAAGAGAAGATACAAAATAGGAGGCGGCTATGTTCACTTCAATATAATTTACTAGATCTCTACTAGGCCACTAGGTTCTGATCTCTACTAGGCCACTTGACTTCACATAAGTGAACGACAAAGGCTGTCAGATTGCCCACACATTAATCAGTCAGGATAAACCTGACTTTCCCTTAGTTCCTGCTTGCTTAAGGTTCTTGATTTGTGTAAAAGAACATAACAGCCAGAATCTCGCAAGCACAAGCATAGATATAGGCAACTGAACCATTCCTGAAAGAGTCATGATCCATTCGTTTTGAAGATATTTAACAAGACAGAAGTTGAAGACAAAATACTATAATATTATCATTTATCAATCAGAGTGTAAGCTTGAGTAAACTTTCTATTCAAACGTTTATAAGAGAGGCGCGTGTCAATGATAATAAACCAGAAATTTACTCAATTCTCTTCAATAACTTCAGGTTACTCAAAGAATTGAATTTTCATAGAGAAATTGCTAAAAACAGTCAGGCTATTGTGCTACTCGTGCACAAGGCTTTGCTACCAACACCAAAAGACGTTATTGTGCAAACTAACGTACCTTTGGTTTCTGGATGTGTATCAACATTTATTTGGAATTGGATCAAAAATGTTTCACTTTGTCGGATTGAAGGGAATTCCCGTCTACATATAATCAATTGCAGCGAATGCTTTCATGACAATAGATAATGTTTTTTACTCCGCTTTCAAAGTGTCATTTTTCTGAATGATGAATTTCTCGTGTTTACAAAATAAAATCATTAATTGGAGAGACCTCTTGAGGATCATACTGTCTCTTGCCCGAATATTAATAAGCAGGTTAGGAAAGGGTATGGACAGGCATAATAATAGCTGCATATAAAGCCAAAGTGCAGAAGAAAGCCAAAGCTGCCAGCAAACTCGAATATTTTTTCAAACAGAAGAAAGATAAACAGCATGAACGTTTGTTTTACATTATCTAATAGATAAGGTTTTAATACTTCTGATCTAATAGGCAAAATCCGACCAGCTGTCATACCATTGCTGATGGGGCAGGTAGGTGTAACTAGTGGGACTCTCACCTGACGTTTTGTCCCGCAGGCGTGTGATGGGAGTCGTCCAGTAAGGAGCCGTCACCAGAGACGTAGGATATTAGGTCTGCCACTGATGACCGCCTCTTACTGAAATACATGGAATCTCATTCAGTGCTTGCATTATTTTCGGTTTGTTTGCAGGAAGAATTCCTTGGGTACTCTGGTACCTTGGATACCAAGATAACATAATATTTTATCGGCTCGTCTCCGCATTCGGCAAGTCAAGGACACATTTATCGTTCAATATAGTAGAGCTATTCAGCCTCACGTGCAAGAATAGGAATTAAATGCTATTTTTATTGTAAGCAATTTAACCGAACGTAAATAGTTAAAAGGAAATTGAAGGATTTCTAATAATGATGTGAAACCGGATCAGCATTAAAAGCTGAAAAGTAAGAATTAATATTCGATTTATGAAGTGAGAATGAACGCAATTACAAATGCGAACAAAAATAACAAACTAAACGAGTTTATCAACAAAAAAATCTATAACCTTTTGGAGTACTACCTTACTCAATTCTCTCATCAACAAATTGATATATTTAGACTGGAAACCAATCGTCCAGTACATTCAATGAAATTCTAAGTAGCACGGCGCGGCTCAACAAAAATATGCAAAGATTCAACACAAATGTGGTAAGCAACAGAGTTTGGTAGTTACGACAAACAACAAAAACTTAGTGAAGGAAAATTGTGTCGCTGAGCGTAGGAGTGGAAGACAGACCTGGCGGGGAGTTGGAGCTGCGAGCCAGGAGCACAGGGGCTGTCATCAGAGGCCAGCTGCTGCATGGTCTCCCGCAGCCTCTTGCGCCTGCGAGACCGAGACCTCGGCGTCGCTGGAGAGAAAAGACCACCTCGCTCTCCTCCCGCCGCCGCCGCACCGCCACCACCACCCATGCCGCTGGCTGGGGTGGTGGTGGAGTTGCGGGGCGACGTCACGCCGCCGGGCCCTCGCTCCCCAACAGGCTGGGCAAATAAAATGTGTTAATGTTCTGCAGTAGCCAGATAATGAACACTTACATGAACATCGTGGCTAGACTAGGGTCGTATTCAACGCGATTTCTTATATGGTTTGAATATTTATTGCACTTTTGTAGCTTTAATATCATTAAAAATTGTATTTATGAATAATATTGATTAAAGTAATTCAATATTCAATATTGATTTAAGTCACTGTTAAAGTTGCAAGCATTATATTTCTTTTGTTTGATAGCAGAGATCTGTAACATACTCATAATAAAGCTAATTACAAGATATCATTAATCATTTTTTTAAGAGACAAAAATTACCTCACGTCAATTCATTCTATTAACGACAAATTATGAAAAGCAATCACAATGACAGAATCATCAGTGCTATTCGTCTGAGATTCATTAAATTGCCGTGACATCTACATTAAAAAAAATTCTAAAACGCATAACCACTAACTTAGCACCGTAAACGAATTAATGAGCAAACTAACTGATGTCAGTAACTTGATGTGTACACTGCACAAGTCACAAGATAAGGATGGACAAACGTCAACCATATCAAGGGCTACAATTATAGCGAATAGAAAATACAGAGATTTTTACAACGCCCTCAATAATATGATTGGAAGACTCACCACTTCGAATGTGTAGAGACTTTCATTTGCACAAGCGTTTATTTGAATGGAGGCCCAGAACCATTCTGCCTTAACCACGTGGGCCTTTGGAGGACAGTCCGGAGGTTTTTCTTTGACGCGCTGGTCTTCCAGCACCTGAAAATTGAATTCAGTTAATAACTCCTTAGATTAACAGGGGACTTTAAATGCTAGAATTAAAGAAACTTGGTAGTTTACTGAAACATACAACTGCATATCTACTGTCAGCATTTCGTGGGGCTTCAGGAACTTCGGTACCTTGCTAGTCAGGATCTTGTGTACACTTCAATGTTTGATGGAGTGTAGAAAGAGATACTAAAGAAAGAATACTTTTGACAGGAAGTTGTTGAGATAAGCAAATGTAATAAGGAACCATACTGACAACACAAGTTTAGGATTTTCTCCTCTGCATCGTCAACCTGCACAATTCTAACTGTCATTCCTGCCTTCTTGAATATTCCCCTTACTTGAAAAGCATTCTGGCCAACACGGACCAAAGCCTTCAACGTTCCCCACGCCTATTGGTTGCCTTCAGGGAAGATCAGCAAGCTGCGGCTCGAGGAGCAAATATAGATGAATTCACCCCTGCCTTATCCATCGTTATTTTCAACTAGGACCACTTGACTCGCCTATTGTCTTCTTGAAGACAGTGCTGGTCTTCTTGACTTGCCAACCAGGACCAGCATCTTTGCCAGACATCAAAATCATCCCACCTCATCGCTTCTTTTACAACGCTTGGCCAATCAAGTCTCTTTGCATTTTGACAATCTCTCCATTCTGACCCTTTCTCCATTCCCTTTCCTACCAACCCTTCTTAATTGTTGCTTACTCATTCATAAATTTGAACAAAATCGAGTGGTTTTGCAATGTAAATATAGACGAGGCTGCTATTTTTTTGGCACTCCTATATTACTCAATGCTAATCTTCCAACAGCCCCAACATGTCGGCCACCTGATCTGCTCACCGTACACCCAGGACCGTAGGTGCAACAAACAGCAATAAGGAACAATAACCATAAATACGTACGACGTGAGTGGCTGATTTGTCTTTGAGCTCCGTAACGGTGCCGCTGTTTTGATCCAACATGCGCTGCATAGTTTGCTGGTCTTCTTCATTGAAACCCACTAGCACAACACGGAGGTTGTGGAACACGCCAAGGTAAAACTCTTTCTCCTGAAGAAGAAGAAAATTTCAAACTCTATTTATTAAAGAGTTGAGAATTTATTACGCAATTCATTCTGCTAGGCCAGTCATCACATTATGATGATACTCAGTTGCATCCAAAGTAATAATTACCAAATAATAATACAATTAAAAAATAATACGATCATCTATGAATTGTTTGTCTAATTATATAAATATTGATTGCCACACAGAATAATCAGCATGTTTCCCTTTTATCGGAAATTAATAATCAAACAGAATAAAATTGACTGATCACATTCAATCAAGAGTTGAGGTTTCTAGAGTGAAGTCTCCTACCATGTCAGTATTGGCAGCACGGGCGCCAATATCGTCCCTATGGGCCCAGGCGGTGTCGACCCACTTTTGTGTCACCACAGGAATGCCAAACGTGACTGCATACTGATACTTGTCGCCTGTGGAGCACACGGCTATGAGGTGCGTCACTCTTTCGCCCATCTCGTTCTTGATGCTTCCACCCATCATGTGAATCAGACGCAACAACCGGGCCTAAGGACATGGTTCAAAACACTGCTGACAAATTATAAGTAAAAAGGAAGCGACATGGCATTAAGGTGCACAATTTTTAAGCAGGATTTAAAAATTAATCAACAACATCAGCAATAGCTTCACACACTAGGTAAAAAGCTACATCAAGTTAAAAAAATGTTCAAGGTAAACCACGAAATTAGGTAAAAAGGTACATCAAATTAAAAAAAATGTTCAAGGTAAACCACGAAATAACACAATTCTGACCACATCATTTTTCCTCTTGAATCCTGTGAAGACAACAATGCAGGAGCGCATGACGTGGCAGTAAACAGGTCGTGTGTGCAGCACAAGTGAAGGAGTTACTCCGTCCTGAGTGATGGCCATGTCCAGCAGGGCAGGCTTCCCCAGTATCCTTGATGTGACCTCGTGCAGAGCGGCGTACTCAGGGCTCTCAAAATCAGCCACCACAAAATATGTGCAGTGACTCTGATCTGCTGCATATTCAAGCCCATTTTCTGACGTCACCACAGGTAGATGGAATTTCTGCAATTCAATCAACAATTAATAATATAACAACTATCAAGCATTTTCAGTACAGAAACACTGCTCTCTTGAACACCACAGTGCTGTGATGTATGGATGCCTGCAAGGTGGCGACACTTAAGTTCCCCTTTGTTTTTGTATTTTGCCCATTACCTCTCACCCATTTCCTAATTTATTTAGTAAGCATTATTGCACTTCCAGTGCCTTTGAATTCTTGATACACCCAACATTGATATCATACTGCCCCATCCCATCAGATACAGTACAATATATCAGTACCAACATACATGAACTCAATCAATAGCCTTTGAAGCCAAAATAATAATAATGATGAAAAAATAAAAATGTTAATATAGCATGTAACCATGTGCATAAATATCTATGCAATATAAACTCGTCAAAAAATGCAAACTCCTTGCTGCTTTTTCACATAACTTTTGAAGAAAGAGACATAGCACTTAGAAATTTGTAACAAAATTTGATTTTTTTAAGCTGCATATGCACAATACTTTTTAGGTTTGTGTTGTTGGCTGTCTTTAACCAAGAAGCAAAATTTAGATGCGTCGAAAATATAAAGCAAGTGGGAGTACCTAGTCATATTTATATCATTGTGATGTGTCATAAATAGTATAGAGCATGTGAGAGGACCTTGTCACATTTATAACATTGTGATGCGTTGTAAATATAGAGTAAGTGAGAGGAACTGGTAATATTTATATTGTTGTGATGTTGTAAATTAGAGCAGATCTGAGGACAGCCATATTTTCAATATAAAAAGGAGATTTTTTTCATTATTTAAACAGAATTGAATTTTTTTGGGCAGGACAGCACTCTACTCTTCCACCAAATAAATGTTGCTTGTATGAGTAAGTGTAATCTAAATAATCAACTTCTGCACTTTTTATTAATAAAAATGATGACAAATGAAGTTTGGCATCCCATAGAATCCACTCTCAGAGTTTAAATATTATCTATACATATTTTTAGATAATGCCATTTATTTGCAACTCGTGATTTTTTCCTGATAATAAATTTCACTGATGCCATTTTTCTCTAAATAACGTACTATGAAAAATTCCCCCCACAATAGATCCATGATATTATTAATATTTTGGCTTACAAAGTAGTATGCCATCAGCAACATTTGATGAGCAAAGTAAATAAGGAGCACAATAATTTAATTCTTGATGGTGCAAGCCTGTAGTGATCAAGTGTAGATAAAAACTGGAACACAAGTCAAGTGCTACACAAAAGGTTACATCTTTTATCTAGTCCTACACAAAAGGTTACATCTTTTATCTTCAAGTTATTGAAGTTGCAATGCCCTAACACTTGATAGAATCTAAAGCAACCTCATTGTGATGTCAGTAATTAGAAAAAATTTCCATCTTTATAGCAAATTTGCAGGAAACAAAGTCAAACTGTTTTTTAAAACATTAACTGTAAGCAAAAATTGGTTGAATTTCAACTTTTTATGCTCAAACCCCAAAAGTTTAGGAATAACATATAGGCATTGTATATACCTGAGCTGCCTGGAGAGTGTCCACATCACTGGCCAGTTGGCCAACAAGGCACAGCCTCAGGTCTGCTCGGTTGGAGGTGGTGGTCAGAGTGGTGGTGTTGCTCAGGTGACTCACCATTGTGTCGTCTGTAGAGAAGTGTGCTGCAATTAGATATCTAATATCAAATAACAAGAAGACCACTATAAAAGAAACACTTTTCTCATTGCACCAAGTTATGCAGATGAACTCTTTTGCTCAAGAAGATCCACAGAAATAAACATATATTCATAGCTTCAACTTCAAGTAAGTAAATAAATGATCAATATTTTGCACAAGCCCAAATTGACATGAATAATGCACAAGCAGTTAAAAGTGGTATATAACAATATTCCAAATAACTTAGATTATGGAGTGAATCCATTCACAAAACTACCAACTGTAAGACTATACTGATCTTCATTTGAGTGCATTTCATCAATTACCCTACACTTAATCGAGCAGTTTTTTCCTAAGGTTTCTAAATAAATAAAATATCAAATTTAATACACAGCTTAGGATGTTAGGATATGAGCTAATAGTTTTAGCAAGATTCCTCACTACTACTTAACATAGCTGACCCTTCAGAATCATATGACAGATTAACCCTTCAGCAAGCATGTTACCATAAACTGCAACAAAATATATTAGCTAAAAAACGTCTATGTGTTCTCTTGGTTGGTAGGAGACTTGGCTATCATGCCTGAAGCAAATGTCAACCATCCAATTCTTGTTTAATGATAGAATCAACCTCCTAACACACTCATTTAAAGAAAGCTGTTGTTGAGATGATTTATGAATTTTTGATGCTCTAATTGATGAGCATCTGAATTGATGTCTTTTTTATTTTTTAATGATAAACATAGAAGAATCTTTTTCAATTAATATCAGTAATTTGATGATAATGAAGCATATTGATGTTAGATAGTTGATTTTATACACATATCAGACATCATTATTTTCTATGTTTTATAATAGATGGAGCATAGTGAGCATAGGTACTAAATTCTCAAATTTTCATTTATACCTGCAAAAAAATGTTCAGGAGAAAGTATGTACATCTTAGAATTCTTCAAGCTTACTTCAACTACCGTCAAACGGGGTAAAAAGGGACAATTTTGAGCATTTTTTGTTAATAACTTCTTACCATGAAACATTTCAGAAACAAGTTTAAGCTCATTTTATAGCTCTTTGCAAGGGCTATCCAATGGCATCTCCAAAAAAATTCCATATGCTATTTGTAAGGTGCCAGACAGAAAATAAAACCGTCCCAATTTACCCCTGTGAACGGGATAATCTGGGACACTTGCAATAAAAGTTAATTTTAAAACGTTTGAAGCATGCAGAGTGTACACATCCATTACTAACAGTACTCTGAAGTCATCCTCTTTCATTATAGATGATGTAGATGTAAAATAAATGACATTTTCTGTTATTTTTACTTGTTTTTCCTTGATATGATATTACCATATTCATTAATTACCGTATTATTAATGTGATATTACTGTATCCATGGACATGCCATTGAGCATTGACAACGACCTTTTCCACTGCAAGCTTCATATCAGCAGCCATGTAGCATTTCTTCTGTATCTGTAAGCTCACAGGATGACTTGTAATTTTGCACAATTTTAATCTAGTCAAGTGATTCCACTATAACAAAAAAGATCATGAAAAACATACCTGAAACTGAAAATAATGTTTTAGTTGCACTTTTTTTTCCAAAATTGCACTTTTCACACTTTTTTTCAGCAATTTTTTAGAGATAGTAAATGTTTGATTTCTTGACTGGCTTCATACATAATAGATAATAAAAATGTTGAAGTTTACGCCACTATTTTTAGTTTTGCAATATTTTGATTAGTTGGGACGCGTGTCTCGACTTACCCCACCCTTCCCTTTTTACCCGGTTTGATGGTACTTAGTGTTAAAAGTCTAAATAGCTGCATATTCCTATGTCTGACAACCAAAGAGTCAAGCACTGACAGAAAAAATGTTTTTAGCTACCCAGTAATTTAACCTGTGGAAGAGTAAAAATATGTAAATTATGGCTTAGGTCAAGTTCACAAGTACCTATCTTCCTTACTATCAGGAGAATTGAGCCTACCATTTCCAACATGATGAGTGTCATAAGGAAAAATAAATGAGGGCTGTATGAGCAACAGCAATAATTATCAAGTTGACAAAAAGTTCAGTGAAGGGTGTATGTATATATGAAAGTTCAATAAACAATCAGAGCATGTTTTTTATTAATAATCTTCTTATTCGTTTTTTAAACGAGTCCAAAATTTCTTGCTGACACCAGGAGATAAAAAAGCAGGTTACCAAATGGCATTTTAATGGTATGCAAAATTAAAAAAAAAAATAATTTTATTATCAAGCCGGTAAAGGTTTTGCAACACTTGATATTGAACTTTTAGAAATAACAGTAGTACAGATCAAGGTTATTGTGGAAACAATTTGAAATCTAAGCTTAAATTACTCGGAAAATAATTTCAGCATTTGGACAAATCCTGTAGTCTGGAGGTTGATAGCTGGAGTCCCATCCTTAATGATGAGGGCCTCCGCTATAGTGAGTCTCTTAGCGTTGGGGCATCACATGACAACGCTGGTGCCTTCTTCCAACACCATTTGAGTGGTGGTCTGTTGGGCTTCTTCCATCAGGAGGTTCCTAATCCACCAGATTGAAGGTGGCATGTGAGATGTTGGCTTTTGTCATAGTTGTGACTTGTGAGCCCAATGCATCCATATTAGGGAGAAGTCTACAACTTTCTATATTGTGGGGAAAACTTGTAGACTACATAGGTCTCTTGAAAACCTCCTGTTTTTGCAGGGGTTATTGTTCAATACAAGACTTGGTGTTTTCTTGTTTTTATAATAGATCAGTAGTTTAATTTTATTATTATTTATGCTTATGATGTTTGAAGGGTGGATTGAAGGTTGTGTTCATCTGCTTTATAACTGCTCGTCATTTGATTGTTGTAAACTAGTAGATGGTTTTGACATTGGCATCAGTCTCTGGTTCATTGATGAGTCTGGTTTGGTTTGATTGAAATTTGAAAATTTCCATCTAAATTGTTCTAATGGCAAACCATTATTGACTAAGATTCTTTTGCAATTTCTCAGCTCCATATTTATTGTAAAAGACACTTAGTCAATGCTGGGTTTGCCAATAGAACAATCAACACAGAAATTTCAAAAGTTTGATCAAACCAAAACAGACTCAACAGCAAACTAGAAACTAACTCCTGTTTCAAACCAACAAGGCTATGTCATGCTCTGCCTCTGGCACTAATGAGGAAAATATCTACTCTCTGAACTGCAAATGGATTTGTGAGCCTTGGCTTCATAGATTTGCAGCCATTATTCCATTTCTTTCAGCCCTGAATTCCATGTACCAGCAACAAAGAGCCATTGACAAGCAGAAACTTATTTGCCAAGTCCATACTGTGCATGTGTTATCCCAAATCTCTAATTTTACCCTAAAAACCGTAACAATAACATTTGTATTTACTTTAGAGACAACTGAACATGTGATATTGCAGTCTGACCACTCTGACTTGACTGCAACTATTCTATCTCTAATAAAACCTTTTGGGTTGATTCATTATATATGCAGGATATTTGTGCGGGAGCATGGCACTAAGCAAGCGAGGAAAACATCTACCTTTAAGGCCACAACTAGAGGTTTCCTGCCACTTCCAGAACCGCAAGATTTCTGCCAGATGAATTACTTCCTATCCAATTGTAAACATAAGTGCACCATTTGTCAGCAAGATAACAAATGTATTAAAAATTTGTCACATTGAGCTGCGAGATTTCAGAAAGAAATAGGAAAATTCCAATCCTTCACGGCTCAAAAAATTCAGTCGCGGCTCGCCAAGTAGATATATTCCATGCCTGACTAAGCAAGCGAGGAAAACATCTACCTTTAGGGCCACAACTAGAGGTTTCCTGCCACTTCCAGAACCGCAAGTACTCTGCCAGATGAATTACCTCCTATCCAATTGTAAACATGAGTGCACCATTTGTCAGCAAGATAACAAATGTATTAAAAATTTGTCACATTGAGCTGCGAGATTTCAGAAAGAAATAGGAAAATTCCAATCCTGGCAGTGGCACTAAGTATATACTGTGTACAGTATATACTTAGTATACAAACTGTACATTCTTAGTGGAAATATATATATATATACTTCCACAGTATATATATACCCTAAGGATATACTGTGGAAGTTGAAAATTTTATGAAATGACACGTTTGTGAAGCACCATTTCTTCAATAAACAAAATAATATGATATTAGAGCCACAATATTTTAGAAAAAAAGTAGGACTTACCCCAACTGGCTCTGGCATAGAATTTACTGTAGGGTAAATGCACTATATTCCGACACCCCTAGACTTTTTCCTTTATATTAAGCTTGGTCTTAGTTCCATTCATGCGTAGATGGTTGAAATAGTGTCATCATACTATTCGCCAGATTGCGATCATACTATTGCGCGCCAGATTTCTGCAAAACACTAGGTCTAGGGGAAAAATGTTAAGGTCCGCAGAGCGAAAGCCAAGTCAACTAGTGAGAACATCATAACACGTACCTATGAAAGTTGATAGTTGACCTTGCTTTACTAAATAGTGATAAACTGTTTGTGTAGAAATAATATCATGGTTTGAGACTTTTAAATGGCTCTGTGAATATATTAGGAATCCTTTAAGTATGCTTGTATTTGCTGATTTTAAGTGGTAAATAAAGTAATAGATGATTGATTCAAGAGACGTTTTACACACATAAAAACTAATTCCGACACAGGGTGTCAGAATTACGACACACAGGGTGTCATTTACTGTCGTATTCTGACACAGCTCACACAAGGTGTCGGAATTCCAACACAGGGTGTCAGAATTACGAATTATGATTTTGAAGCGCTGTCAGTATAATAGCCAATAGGCATTAGGCAATAAATTATTGCCTAATATAATATTTTAAAAATAGGCATCAATTCTATTCATTCATAAGACAAGTTGGAATACCTATTTCAATCTAGATTTCAGTTTCCACTGATTCAAGCATCCAAATATAAAAAAAATCAAGGATTGCAATGAAAGTCAAAGGCACAACTAGCATTTTTATTGGGTTAAGTAGCCTATTTTAATTGTTACATTATATTATTGAAATGATCTAGGTGGTACTGTAGTCAGTGTAGTGTAATGACTATTGAGCAAATCCCAACTTAAACTTGCTGTCTTGCTGACGGAGCTGACCTGACCTTAGCGCTTAGCCTATACCTAAATTTTATAATTAGAAAAACATTAAAAGCACTAGGCTTCTCACCTAAAGAAGGCTGCTTGCTGGAATCCATACTTGAGAGTTTGTGACATCGGACTTTAACGAAATTATTTGGCGCACGATGTTTACACTACGTAGATGATTATAACACTACCACTAGAGTAGGTAAGCAAGATGAATTTTAGTGGCTTACAAATTCGTGCCGCACCAGTAAAGTCCATAGGCTACGCATAGAATTAGACTGAACTTTAGGCATGACGATTATTCATCAATGAAAATCATTGTAGAAATTATATTGTATGAACTAAACATAAAAATATTGTCAACAAAAATGATAGCCTAACACGTTGCTTCAACATCAGATCCAACTGGAATCATATTGAATAACAACAGAAAACGGAAAGCCTCAACGGAAGACATCATAAACAGCCACCGAAGATGAAAAGCTTAAAATCATTAAATAAATATCAAGTAAACTTGAATTTGGAAATAAATTAGCACAATAATATTTGATCAAAGGTTTACAAAGACAAATTTAGAAAAATTCGGTTTAAAGATATAAAAACATGATGAAATGGTATAATTTGAACTGATGTCTCGTTGACAACTGAGCATCGAAAGAAGAATTTGCCGCTGCAAAATTTGAAACGTGAAAATGTTAATGGAAATGGGGATTTGTATTTGAGAATTAAAATTCAAAATTAATAAATTCTGAGACATTTCCTCATGCTAATATATTTTTTCACATCTGTAATTAAACTTTTATACGTACATTTGATCGAATATTGAGAATTAAGCGCATAACTATGAACAACTCACACGAGTCTATGCGTTTAAAAAAATTAGTAGCATGCTGATTTTGAAATAAAAAACACACAATACATCAGAAATCATTATATTGATAACATATCTTATATAATGAACAGTTCAGATTGATATTTTCGCTCAGCTATGTCTTCAAAAATAGATAGGTATACGTCGACCACAGACTTGCCTAATTCAGCCAGATATTTAACATCGCGTCGTGCATCCAGATACACTAAAGCGTTGTCCTGGCGATGGGCTGCAATTGCACGGCAACTCTACTGACGACGAGCTGCTCCACACTCGACAATGGACGTTGCTGATGACTACCGATAAACTGGGGGATGTACATATCACTGTTGTTGCAGTTCGCAGGGAGCTTGCAACTACGAAGCGTTGGCTGCATATTGGTCTCTTGCATGTCATTTGGTATCCGCTCTATACCACATTACTAATCTTGGTGATTTTGTAAAGGCAAATTTATCTTGTCAGCAGGTAAATCATTCGAAAATATAAGTCCGATCTGATTTTTGAAGTTAACCTAACTGATAAGCAAAATAAAGCGAAATAGACTATCCAAAAATAAGATATAGCTAGTGAGACCTCAATTCACAATGGAGGACGACTCAGCATTCGCTTATAAGGAAAAGAAGCCGGCGGGTTCTATCATCGGAAAAATTTTGTTCAGCCATGTCGGCCTACTGTTCTTGGTGCTGCTCTACACTTTTCTAGGTAAGTAGGAACAGTAAACTTAAGGCGATGCTTGGTATCAAACGTTATTTTTTCAACGATCACCATTAAATATTCTACCGAGATAGTGAAGGCTCCTTACCTACCGTAGCATTGTCAAACTAATTCTGATGGATGACGTGTCCAACACGTCGTGCTAAGATATACACGGAATTCACTTGTGATCAGACCCATGTTCACATTTGCTAACATCTTATAATATGAACCCTGATATAGGCGAGTTGAAAGAATTATCGAAAATGAAAAGAGACTTTGTTTTGTGTTCGACGATAAGAAGCATGTTTCTAGGAGGACAAGAAGATGGATGTGAATTTTCCAATATGTCGGAGCTGATGAGACGACTACGCGATCGAAGGTCGGTTGCATGAGAGTGATCACCCCTGACGACATTGATTGGTCGTGCTGAGGCTGCCGTTGTCAGGAAAGACGTGCGTGGCTCGCATTGTTTGCTCAAGTTAAGGCATTTCAGCAAATTCAGAAACTCAGCTATATGTGAGAATTCAAAAAAGTATTCACAAAGCAAACCATAGGATAAATTAAATGCAAACATTGTGTTTTCTCCTCATTGTTAGCCCTGCCAATGGGGTAATTTACTTAAATTACTCTTCATCATCGCGCGCTTTAATTTGAAGTGAGGGTCTGGATTATCACTATCAGCATGCTCTCGGATTCTAAAGTTTAGAATTTAGATCGTAATGATTGGAGCAGAGAGGCGCGGGTTCGATCCCAGCTCTCTGCGCCAGTTTCTGGTCAGAGTCGGCGAGGAGGCCGGGCGCACAGCAGTACTGAAGGGGAGTGCAGCCGTGGGTAACAAAATTGACTCGTAAACACGCCCTGGGCCCAACGCCAACCATCAGCAAGCAATATCTACACATAGCCTCAGATCAATGAGCTGTGGGTAACTCCGGCTTGAAACTGCTATTATTATTTATCATTATTATTATTATGAGCATAAGGAAAATGAACAGTCCAAGTGCAAAAACGACGATATACTACACAAAAAGGCAAAATTCCTTCTAATAAAAGAAGTTGTCTTATTGTGAGAAAGAATCAGTTTCTGTCCGCCACTGTTCCCTTTTTAACAAATATATTGACTTACAAATATTCTGCTTCAGGAGCACTGGCGTTCATCGAGCTTGAGAAAACGGCAGAATTGTCACGTTACTCAAAGAAAATGAACAAAGCGCGCTCCGTAAACCAGTCAATGAACTACTTGGTGCAGAGGCTCTGGTTCTACGAGTCCAATAAGAGCTTCACCATCGAGGACTACACCCCTCACGTAATCACTCACTCGCATAATGTGCTTTAGTGACCATATGATACACGTTTCTATTGCCTTTTGCCTATCGCTTCACAAGTTCAGTATTTTCGTTGTTAACATGCAGGTGATGGGGGACTTGGAGAACCTGGAGTCAGTCATCATGGATGCCATTGGTGGCTTCAAATACGATGGTACAGTCGATGGCTGGGTATGGGATTGGACTTTCTCGCAAAGCAGCCTCTTTACGATGTCCATCATCACTACCATCGGTGAGTGCGACAGTGCGAACAAGAGAAGAGCCCCTCCTTTCATTACTATCCTTACTAAAAATCAGCTAGTAAAATTTTAACACCTATGGTCAGTTTCAGTGTAATCGGGTGGTTAACAATTATTTTTACATCGGTCGTAAAAAATTAATTGACAATATCGATCAAAACTGAAGGTATTTGTAGAATTTAAGATTATTGCTTAAACTGTTTATGATCCGAACTATAAATGTGCAGTGTGCAATGTATAAGTTTGCATTGCAATCTATTAACATATAATTAAAATAGAATTGAAGTAAGTTATTCAGGAGTAATTGTGACCAAACAATCGCCACACTGCGATAGCAGACTCAACGTATAAGCATTGCTAAGGTGAAAACCTCACACGCCGAAAACATTCTCCTCGCTCACGCTTACTTAATTAAAGATATTGAACATGTTTGCAGAAAGCTACTGATGATCATACTGATCATAAATAAAATATAAAATGATAAAATACGAAAATGTCATTCAGGTTACGGCAACATTTACCCCAAAACCTTCTACGGCCAAATGTTCTGCATTGTCTACGCCTTGGTGGGCTGCCCGCTGTTGCTGCTCTTCCTGTCCAACATTGGCGAGGTCATGGCGGAATCTCTTACCTATTTCTACAGGTTGGTTCATTCAGAGACAAACTGGTCTGGTCAGAGGGCGAACAACTTTGTATGAGATTTGTATGCGGTATAGAAATGTACGATGAGAAAACCACAGCAAAAACTGAAGAATTACTCGGACAGACGTTATATATAGTGTAGACCTGTGCTTAAAAAATGGACACCTTGTTGCTCAATTTACCGTTCTACAATAAGTACGTTATACCATGCGTTATACCTTCCATTAATGATGGCAATCAACAAATATTAATTAATACTCATATTTATGTACAAACCTAAATTAAATTTTCAAACTTTCCTTTTACAGGCAAAAAATATCAATTAAAAATCCCATTCTGGTTTATGACGAAGAGCTTCTTTTCCCTATTTCTAATCATTCTGCTGCAGGAGCTGCTGCTTACGCAGTAGTGGCCAGCTGTTGCCTTAGCCGAACACATTCAACAAATTTAAACATTTAAAACGATGCAACCATCGTTGAATTATGTGCGCTTAATTACTACGCCCATTTCAAATATCGCATTGGTAATGTGTTGTTGTACCCATCATAGATTTTCTTATTCATTACCCCAGTGCTGTTTTTATTTTCAACATTTCTTCTCGCTTCGAATCACCGACATGTGGAACAGCCTCCCCGATTACTTCATTGGCGCTCCGAATATGAACGCGTTCAAGAACAGACTAGATAAAGCTATGGAAAAATATATGTTCAGACTTGAAATGTCCATACCATATCGAACCCGGTGCAAGTCTAGTGGCTATTTCAAACTATCGTCAGTTTTGAGAAGATCCTGTCAAATGACACGATTTTAGATCTTCTGTGATCAAGTCATAAGTAGCTCGAAGTCAATAGATATGAGATGCGCCTTTCTGGGAACTTCAGGCTCGTAATCTCGTGGCATTTAATATTTCATTATTATAAGTGGGGCAAAGGACTGTTTTTTCTTTACATTTAAGCCATTATTTGCATTATATTAGCAAGGTTTTGAATAATTTGTGATCTCGTAGTCGCTGCTGCTGCCGTTGGTGTCGGTCACGGCGATACGTGTCAGAACTCCCCCCTGGCGTGCCGGAGAAACACGCGAAGGAAGTCTATGACGATGTTGTCGGTCAAGAGGAATACATGCCCACTAAGAAGGTGAGTCTCCGGCCACAGGGATTTGTTAAAAATTGATTAATTTTCTTCACAGGTGGAAAAAAATTAAAATGGTTACTATTTAATTTAAAATTAACACAAAAAAATATTCATTCTCTACATATGTTTATGCGGAATATAAATCATAAAGTTTCACTTATTCGACCAATAAAATTTTCCATATTGAATGTATTCGCGAAGCTTATATATTTGTCTCATTATAACAATTGACGATGTAGATCAACTGAAATACTTTATGTTGGTATCTACAGCTGATTAAGAATGTTACCCTTTGACACCGCGAAATTTCAGGTGACAGTGCCGATAACCATCAACTTGGTGCTGCTGGCTGCGTACATCATGCTCGGAGCTCTGATGTTCCAAAGTTTCGAGTCGTGGAAGTTTCATTCTTCTTGCTATTTCACTTTCATCACTGTCGCAACCGTCGGATACGGAGACTATTACCCGAAAGCTTCCATGGTCAATGACTTGGGTGCCAGCTTCGTCGCTACAGCTAAGATGATGATCTCTATCCTATACCTTCTTGCTGGTGAGTAATGTTGCATTTACAAACTTAACTGATGATGTGGAGAATTTGAATCAAATTTCTTTATTCCTGGTAGGATATTGGATCTCATTATAGAAGTAAATGGGTCCGTAAATCTGCAGGTATGGCTCTTCTGTCGATGGCGGTGAACCTGATGCAAGAACAAATCGTTGAGAAGTGTCGCTGGTTGGCGAGGGAAATTGGTCTGTCAGGAGACTCCAATGCCCCAAAGGACCCTAATGCTAAAAAAGACCCCAAAGCTCTAAAAGACTCCAATGACTCGAAGGATCCCAACGCCGCGAAGGATGTTGAAGCAGGAAATGCCAGCAAAGGTCCAGGAAATTACGATCGTCGAGAATCAGTGGCCGGTCTTTCGGTGCCCGAGTCTCCCGGACTGACTCCCTCCGCTGCGCCCACGAGGCCCTCATCCGCGCTCTCGATGCTGCCCGGAACTGCCGAGTGAACCATCAAACCGGCACCAATTCAGGGATGCAGAAATGTGGCTGCCGAGGAAAAATAGATGCAGAAAATACAAAGATATATAGTGTTCTAGTAGGAACGTTTTTAGTTTGAAATTGATATTAAGAAATTAATCAGCACAGCTGTCAATTTGGACGATGTCTTCTCAATTTGAAAGACAGGGCAAATTTCCTGAACGCAGAAGTTGCGAATAACAGCAGTTTGTTGTTACGAGCTCCGATTCTGTAACGCCTGAGCAGATCATCACGAATTTCACCAGCAGGTATTATCCGCACTATAAAGTATCTTTTCACCTTAAAGAAAAAAATTCCCTGATACTAAAATCAATTTCTAATTATTGCTGAATAATTTCGACGAAAATCACGTGTTCAAAGCTCTTAACCTCTAGCAACGGGTCGACATTCGTGGTGTATTTTGTTCAACATATAATGTGCACATTTGTCTTCACATTGAATGCAATAGTGTTAATTACCTATATTGATTTATGAATTATGCATGTATATTTGAGGCACAGATCCTATTTTTACAACACTTCTCTTGAAATTCACTTCTTGTTGTCTGCTTCGAATCTTATAATCGATATTTAACACACTTTTAAGTGTCCAATCGATCTTAAATTTTTCGCACTTGCGAAAACTCGGAGATAATGCTTGAATCAATTGACAGAATAAATAATTAGAAAATTTTTTCTTCTATATATAGAGAAAAAATTGAATAACAAATTTTTTCAATATATACAAATTAAATTAAAAATTCATTGTACATGTGTAACATCGGAGAAAATGGCCTCTTTGAAATTACTAGCAGAAAAAGATATGTGATTGCAACTGAATTTGTTGATATTGAGTGTCTCATACATATATATTTGGCAATACTGTAATTTCTATTTATTTTAACAATACGCAAACTATAATTGGCTTGAAGTATCTCTGTTGTTTGATGATGTCGGTTTATAGGATACCAAATAAATACAAAGTTATCACTATAAATGTTTTATTGTGAGTAAAAATTCCACCTTATTACAACAGAAATTTAAATAAAAGACATCTGGTGATATTGTAATATTTACAGAGTAATATAATAGACTCTGGAAGAAAATAACATCATAGGTTTATATAATTTTACTGACAAGTGATATACATGAACGGGGGCAGTGAAAAGTGTCTCTACGGAATGAGAGTTGGAAATAAGAGCATTCAAAAGTGCCACGAAGAAAGCCAAAATTGGATATTATATTCGAATAATTGCGTTCAATACAAAAAATATTTTCTCCAAACGTAAAGAATTAATAATGGATTCGAAACTGACGTAATCCGTCGGTAGCAGTAGCTACAAGTTGTATATGAACAAAGCTCTTTTTATTCATTATGATGCCCTCGTCTATCCATGTAACATTTTAACGCGTAAAAGCAAGGCAGTTTATAATAGTGACGACAATCGTCCAACAAAATTAATCTAGACAAATACATAAATTAATACAATGCACAGGACACTTTAACCACAAAATGTTCTATTAGATCATATAAATAGGTCAACGTGTCAGATGAAACCGCTGTACGCGTGACTCTTCGTTAATTTATCAATCAATAACTTCCATTAAATCAACTAGCATAGTTTAGTTTTGACCCGCAACTTGGATGCACCTGCATGCTATGCTACTGAGGAAATTAATCGTCATCGCCCAATGAAATGGCCACAAGAACCTTAGAATTTATTGAATGCTAATTAGGTTCTATTAAGGTTGAAAGTTTAGTTCGATTGAAATAATCAGGTTAGTTATATTATTTTAGTTTTATCATATTTGGTTAAAATGAAAATTTTTAGACGTACACGCCATTTATCTCCTCAAATAACGATACCGATTCGTCTCAATAAATCTTAAAGGACATTAATAGAAAACGAATTCGACAAGCTCCCATCACATTTTTCAGACAGCGACCGAGGACGTACGATGATCGCAGCTGACGAGTTCTAGACGAGTTTTAAACGTGTTCTAGACGTGTTCTAGACGTGTTCTAGACGCATTCTAGACGTGTTCTAGACGCGTTCTAGACGTGTTCTATACGTGTTCTAGACGCGTTCTAGACATGTTCTAGACGTGTTCTAGACGCGTTCTAGACATGTTCTAGACGTGTTCTAGACGTGTTCGAGACGTGTTCTAGCTAAGGAGATCATCCAGCACCGACTGGTCGCTTAGAGCTGCCTGAGCTCGAGGCCAAGGGAAGTCCGGAGAATCTGGCCAAACGGAACAGAAATTTCGCCATGAAAATTCATACTTTATTTGTTCTTCAGATAATTGAATCGCTGAATTTCTTGTTCACAAAAAATACCATTAAAATGGATTTTGTGATTTTCGAAGGAAATAAGTCAAGTATCAAGTATGCAATCAGTGTAGAAATAAATAACCAAGGCTCCATCACAACTAAAATTGAGTCGATAGTATTTTTATTAGTCAAGGAAATTAAGCATACTTTAGCGTTAACTATGAAGAATAACTCTGCCTGCTTCTCATGTAATTGATTTCAGACAATAAATGAAAATAATCAAACTTCTTACAATTAGCTTTAGTCGCGCTTGTCATCAATATATCATTGGAATCTTGAAAAGGAAAAATGCAACCTTTAGAAGCAGTAATAAAGTTCTAATTCAGCCTGTAGGAACATTATAAATGTGGGGTCTTTACAGTGGTCCCTATAAATGTGACTGCAGTGGTCCCTTACCTCTGACGTAGCGACCTGCACGAAGGGAGGTGGACACGCACATCATTCCGTACACGCGGATGCCCGGGACCTGGGCGTACGCGGGCTGGTCGTGGTTCAGCGGCCCGTCTGCAAAATGGAATGAATCAATTCTGGAAACCTGACCCTATTAGCTCGTAAAGTTTATAGAGCATATGCTGCTTTGGAAGGCAGGGCTTAGACATTTCTTCAGGTTAGCAGGTTATTGGGCTTCGTTTTGTAAACCGAGCTCGCAATCGAGCGTTTATAAACATAGGAATAATTTCTACCTCACAAAATAGTTCGATTAAAATTAACTTTTAATAGCAAAAATGCATTGCCAGAATTAAAAATATTGAATCAATGAAATGGCCTTAAGTCCTCCGTTGGTTACAAGCGAGGCCGGTGACGTACCGAGCTGGGAGCCGTCAGGGCACTTGCAGATGACGAGGTAGTGCGCCTTGCCCGTCCTGGAGTTCTGCAGCGCCAGGATGGACCAGTCCCGCGGCGCCCGGCAGTCCCGCACGCTCCACACAGGCTCGCACGTCTTGATCAGCGTCACGGCCTGCGGTCCGCGTATCTCATAAGTCATATTAATCCCATATTAATATTAATGTCATGTTATATTGAGTGATCTTGTAAGGCACAATTTTGCACTGGTTAATGAAAGCGCTGTTTAATTAATTTAATCTATTTTTAATTTTTCATACTTGAAATATTTTCCCAGTACTCCGAACTGAAGAATCAATGTTCATAGTTGATTTCTTGCCCTATACATTAATTCATGCTTCCATGAATTATATAATATAAATCTGCGAAAGCTTTTTGTTTTGGTCTTAGTTAGGTTGTTGATGTCTTTTAAATATACAGGTGCAACTCAAGCGCGTATCCATTATTGGGATTTCACATACATGTTGTATTTGGATTTTCCCTATACATATTTATTGGGATTTCACACTGATCAAAGTTTTCGTTCTTAGTGGTATTTTTTCTATTATTGGCAAACTACTTTACCAACTTGACTGCGGCGAAAGCTTGGGCATGAAGTCATTACAGACAAGCAGTTGCATGAAACCGCAAAATTAAAAAAAAAACAATAAAATTGTCGTTTATTACAAGTCATAATAATAGTTATTGCTAATAATAATATATACTTTATGAAGAGTTATTTGATATCGATCTAAAATTCAAGTTAATTAAATGAAATATAGAAAGTTTTGAAAATTTGTTTTGTTCAATTAAGGAAGATTCGACTTGTAAACCGAAAATTGATAATTTTTTGCATACATTAAATTTGAGGTCCGACATACAGAAATCCTGCATGAGACACATCGGTCACCTTAGAGTCGCGCGCGCCCATCTTGAGCTCGATGGTGTGCTTGTCGGTGGGCGCGAGGGAGGCGCTGCAGGGGGCGGTCAGAACAGGACAGGAGCACAGTGGCTGGGTCATGTTCAGACGCACGTACACCGCGTTACAAACCTGACCAACACGCCACAGGGAAATGAAATTATAGAGTGGTTTCAGGATATTTATTACAAGTGATATAAATATTTAGCTTGGTTTGATGACAGTTCATTTGCTGAGCTTTGGCCTAATTGCATTGTAATGAATTAGCAAGCTGCAACCGAGCGTTCTGGCATGAGTACTATCAGTAATACACCTCATCAATCTATGATGGCAAATTATAAGCACGTACTTCGATTTTTAATTTCATATAGAGACAATCGAAGAAGTTCAGTAAAAATTTCGCCGTAGTATCTAGCTTATATCCATCCATTCTATTTCTCCTACTCACTCTTAACTAAAGTCTTAGCTTATATAATGTAACGTTATTCAAAGCACCTCAACGTATTTCAACCTCCAAATTAAATAAGACGTGCACCTTGATGCAAAGTACAGGCTTCTTGATAGAAAACACAAAAACAATAATTATTAAAAGACCAAATACATAAGCATATAGCCTAGTCCGCGAAGTATCGCTGAGCGTGATGGCAGTTCAGTCATGGCCGTATAATAATTATTAAAACACAAACACATAAGCATATAGCCTAGTCATTGAAATATCAGTGAGCGTGATGGCAGTTGGTCATGGCCGTACCTGCTGCGTGGCGCACTCCGGCAGCGAGCTCGCCTTCTGCCTGTCGTGCGCGTAGTAGTCGTTGCCACCCCCCGTGCCCTCGGTCGCTATCTGTTCAATATCGAGCAAATAAAAACATATCCACTTACAGTGGGGGGAAATAAATATTCGTACACTTGAAAAATCGTATTTTAATGTATGTAAGTACACAAACTNAAATTCCATTAAGAACGCAATAAAAACAATGCAATATTAGAAAAGGCTGCTGCTGGTTAATATGTTTTTTTTTAATGTAAAAAAGATAGAGATGCATGTAATTAATCATTTAACTTGGAAAAAATCGATGATATAAAAAGTGTAATGAAAAGTTAAAACATACCAACGTCACTGAATCAAAGTTGCAATGTAGAAATTATAACAATAATCTAGCCGCGTGTTGTCTGGTAAGATTTCGCTTAGAATGGCTCGTGATCGTATACGAAAGTAAATTTTTTATTTAGTTGAGACGAAGTGAACTCATACATTCCGAGGGCCGAAGAATCTTTCCTGTTTTTATAGAAAGGTCCTATGTTCTTCCTGATTTACCTTACTGCTATAACATATCACTTTTAAATGGATCCGTAATCACTTTTAAATGGATGCGTATGTTATCGTGACTACGAGAACAAGATCTTCCTACGAGTGCTGTTCTTTTTGCCATGGATCGTGAAGACACTTTACATCAGCGCTCCTACTGCCGATTACAGTCGCCTCGAGTATCAGGAAAACAAACTGTTTTTAACGAGGAGTGATATAAAAAGTTTTCAAAATTTCTTTGAATTGATTTATTCTTTTTATGACAACAATCCAGGAAGTTAAAACAGTTTAACAGTTTTATCGTGCAAAAAACGGAATAGCATTTGCTACTGGGTTGCTTGGTGCAGCGGCAAATTATAATGACGATGCATCAGCTGCTTGCGTACGCGCCTACGCAAACTGAGCGCCCGGTGGCGTCGTAACGGCCGAAGTTCCGCTTCGTTGACACGCCGACGTCATCTGCTTTACGCACGGGAACGGAAGATATCTGATCTGCAGCCTACAGGTTGGATAGCCGACGGCTCGGCCTAATGACTGCTGCGAGCCCAGTGTGTCAGCAGAGCGTTATAGCTGCATGAAGGCGCCTAACGACTACCGAGAAAATGGGTAATATATTTTGAGCGTATGCAGCGATATTATGTGACAGCTAAGGGGATGAGGCCTGGCGAACATTATAATATAGAAAGCGGTGTTTTTGTACATAAATTTGTATTTAAATTCAAGGAAATCTTCTGGATTTTTCAAAGTAAACAAATGTAGTTTTCGAAATCAGAACGACAAATTGTTCTACGTAGATTTGAAAATTTGTTCATGTTATTTAAGCCTTCAATATTGTATGGCGTAGCTTAAATAAATTAGGCGCATAAGAAATGAACACATGACGGACGCGCTGCATCACAAGAGGGGCGACTGCCATTTTGGTAGCAATTCAATTGTAAGGCTTGTAGGGCTGGCGAGGAAGATATTGGGCAAACTTCTATCAAAATCTATATTTCTTATATAATTACAAAGATGCGTACGATCAAAGATAGGCAGCATTTCAATGTGCTTCCCTCTTAGGAAATGGGTTGCGAAAATGACTTGTATGTTTGTGCAAAAGTTTCTAAACAATGTAAACTTTCCTAAGCAATAATTAACAGGGTCTTGTATACACTAGTGTGAAAGATGCAAGTCATTCGGCAAGCATGCGAGACTGCTAAGTGTGTGTGTGCTTGGTTTCATTGTTCTGTGGAAGTCTAGAGAAACGCCACGGATGGGATGAAAACTATAGAATAAATACTTATTTCTACCACTTTAAAAGTTTTCTAAATTGTCATTAGGGGATTCAGAAATAGATTTATTTTTTATATCAAAATGATAATGATTAGCCACGGATGTATCTGGATGATAATAAACATCTCCTCAGGTTTTATGAAGTTTTTTTTTTTTCAGTTTGAATTGGATTTTTTTAGATCTGCTCGCACTTCGGACTGTTAGGTGGAAATTGCCCCGAGTCCAGCCAGGAAAGTGTGTCATCAACTTGCTGATATCATTAACAGATGTCGGCGCTTGGGCGCTCGAAGGGTCCAGCGAAAGTCTTCGGTCTTCCTCCTCTTGGGCGAGAAGTAGCGACCCGCGAGGCATGCCGAGAAGAAAGTCGGAACTAACTCGGCACGGCAGATGTTCTCAGGAATGCTATATGAAAATTTCTTCTACTAATAGCGGCTGCAATCTTGAATCAGTAGATTATCAGAAGTATATTTCTATTTTAATTAAATCAATGGAGACTATAATAATTGTATTCTCGAATATGAATATTATAATCAATGGCTTATATATGACGACGCTGGTCAATTGGCGAGATAAATTTCATTTCTTGCTGATCAGGCTCTACCGTCGTATCTTTCTTCTAACGGTAGATTTCTTCGCATGCAATTTTAGTGTGAGTTTATTTCAGCGAAATTTGTTAGATTATTTAGTGAGTTTAATAACGCAAAAGTTTGGAATGTTTGTTATTGTGATTGCAGTAATATATGATCATCTTTTCGCAAAAAGAAAAGCTCAGTGGTTTGCTCTCATGGAACGGTCGTTTGCAACAGCTCTCTCTGGAGCACCTTTAATGGCTCATACAAATAAAACCTATCTCGCGCATTTCAAGCAGTCTTGAAACAATTTTTAGTAACTCAGTTTAGCTAAGGGAATATACAGATATATGATAACAATTTTCCGACAATTCGAGCAACAGCTCTACTCGTGATTGGAACATTCGGTGGTATTTCATTGGCAGCAATTTGATATTGGATAGTATATATTAAAGTCATACATTCAGTATAATCTCAATAGTTCTACATACATTGACTATCGATGATCATCAGTCTGCGCGTTTATCGTGATCTTATTGTGAAAAGATGCAAGTCGATAGATGCAAGATAGTATATATTAAAGTCATACATTCAGTATAATCTCAATAGTTCTACATTCCATGACTACCGATGATCATCAGTCTGCGTGCTTATCGTGACCTTATTAAAGTAGTAACACGGCCAGCAGTAACGGACGAATCGCCCTCTGTTTGATGCACAGTTACGCACGAGATGAGGTATTGTGCGCGCACACTGCGCACTGTGTACTAACGAGCGCGCTATTTAACGTTACCGTTTACGGTGCTAAGAAAGTTCTGCTTGCACAACACTTCTGCCACTCCTACGGCACAACATGATAATTGCGATCAAAGCTTTATTCATGTAACTACAGGTGCATTTGCTTCACTAATGTTGAGGATTCAGTTTCCGTTTAATTTTGGCCATTGTTTACAATAGCGACCTGTGTATTTGTTTTGATCATAACTACGTGTAAGTCCTCGTTGGTCCATTTATGACATATGATTCAAGACTCAATAATGGTTTCGCAGGTCAGTAAATGTACCTGTAATTCATAATTTCGTACATGAGAATATCAACAATTTTAAAAGATCTTCACAATATTGAACGTTTGTCTTCAAGCGGACACGATTAAATTACAATCAGAACCATAACCTGAAGACTCGTTATCACGAAACTTATTTCTCCGTTGAATATGTTACACCTTTACCAATTGTTGAAACTGAAAAAACTATACATTTGATTAACTATAAGAAACTTTAATTGGAATGGTGCTTTTAGTGAGAAATGACGATGGTTAGGCAATTGAAATAAAGATTATAAGTACATGCAAAGCTCTCTTAGGGTCTTCGCTGAAAGCGCCATGAACTGCGTCGCTTTTGTGCCCAAGTAACTGCTAACATTCTATCATCTGCACCACGTACGTGCACATATACGACAGCTAACATTCTATCATCTGCACCATGTACGTGCACATATACGACAGCTAACATTCTATCATCTGCACCATGTACGTGCACATATACGACAGCTAACATTCTATCATCTGCACCATGTACGTGCGCATATGACGGCTCATATTTACTATCATCTTTGTCATGTGTGCGCTAGCGACATTTTTACTCATGATTCTTGGGAGCCCAGATGAGCTCTCCAAGAGGAGGTAATACAGGCAGTTTGCTCATAACTTGGCTGTTATGAGTCAGTGAAGCATTAAATTGAATGACATGGTATAGAAATACCTTTTTTTCATCGTCAAAGTTACAGTACAACACCAGGCAATAAGTCACTTGATTGTTACCAGGAACTTGAGCTACGGGTACCGGTTTTGCTAGACAACGCTTTCACTTCAAGCGTTGCTGTCCTGCCAGACATGAAATGGAAGATTTGGATAAAAAAAATTATGGACTGAAATTTGAACGCATGTTTCACTTGCTCCTTCATTGATGCCTGAATCAGTTTTTGCGAATAAGTTATTTCGGGCAGAAAGTGGCTTCGTTACATGCTGCAATTCTGTAAAGATATCTTCTGAAAGTTTCAAAAGTTCAGGGTGCATGGCCAGGTGGTTTAAATGACTATGCGGCTGAAACTAGAATTTAATAAAATTCTATTCGTGATCGTCGGACACCACGATTTCACGAACTACCGGACTAGCACACATTCATGAATATTTATTTAACGCCAACTCAGATTCTGACACGATTAAAAAACGATCGATTGATGGTCTGCGCTTCGTGAAGTAGAGGAGGTGGCCACGACCGCTGAATCGCTTCTTCAAAGAAGTCAAGTTTTAGCCCTGGTTTTCGAGACGTCGTTCACAGAGTGCGAGGATCAGTGGGTCACATTAAATCAATTGACAAGATTCGACGCCGCGCCCTCTTTTTTTTGGTTTGCCTTAATCGCTTTCTCGATGCGGCTTTTGCACGCGGAAAATTGATTGCAGTTCAATACGAAGGTGAATAAAATATTTTTATTTTTTAATTTAAGTGACACCAATGGATTTTCTAAAAGTAATTACTGCAGCTGCCGTTTCTATAAATTACGGATCTTTGAACTTAAACATCCGACGATGGATTCATTGTTTAACTGAATGAAGGCTGCACGGAATATTTCATTAGTCAAATCAGTGAATATAATAACATTACTTGATAAACATCAGAGAACATCGAGTTTAAG